GGCTTTCCGCAAAGCCTTTAAAACCTGGCTGTTCCGACAGGCCTGGGGCTGATGAGTTCCTGTCCCCGCTGTGATGTGGCTGTTGAGTGTTTTTAAATTGTGGTATTGTTTTGTCCATGTCTTTTTTTCCATTTGTATCCCTCCCCCCCCCTCCTGACTTGGGTTGTGAGCCGCCCTGAGTCCCTTCTGGGAATAGGGCGGCATAGAAATATAATAAATTCAATTCAATTCGATTTACCATCTGGAATCAACAGAGGGCAGAGGCTTCATTAGAGAGATAGATGACACTTAGGGTGACTTTGAGGGTTCTCTTAAGTCGATTCTGTGGGTAACCTCTTTCCCTGCTTCCTCCAGTACAGAACTGTGGCTCGGTCTGGGCTAATAGCTCCCTGGCATGAGCTACCTGGAACCCCAGAGCTTGAGTGAAAAAGCATGCCATAAATAGCTTTTCACTTTCACACTTGGAAAACAACCAAGTGGGGAAGGAAATCCCACCAATGAACGTTCACACTCTCCTTACCTGAGATGCGTCTACCTTTTTTGGAAGTCCTTTGGTGCTATTTGGGGGAGCAAATCTCTTTAGAAACAAACTTCAAGGAGCAGTGCAGTTTGTTCGCTGGAGGCAGTGACTCCGTAATGCCTTATGCAAGATTGTGTATGTTATTTTACTTCAAATGATCTTAGGAGGAAGCTCTTTGGATTATTACAGGTGCACTGACTTTATTTCAAAATAAACGAGCCATGTGCTGTGTTTTCGGAGGCTGTTCTGTCCATTTTGCTGCAAAGGCCCTTGAACATCTGTCCCAAAGGAAATGCCACTGACCCTGATGCCAAATCTGTGACATACACACTCCCAGACAGACAAAAGCCATCTCCTATCGCAGGATAAACAGGAACCGATTAAACACTGAATGAGTGAAACAAAACAGAAATCGGTAGGAGAGGCATTCCAGCCTGATATCAGGGGCAAAACAATGGGACGCTGTGGGTCCAAAGCTTACATATCAGAAGGGTGAAAAGCCTGGTTGAAAAGGAGTATTCCTTGTCTTTGCTTCCTGTTAGTTCGATGTCTAGCAGGATTAAGGCTGTCATTGCTGGAAATTCAAACTTCTGAGAGCTCTTTCTAATCGCAAAGCAATAGCTGGCCCAGTGCATGCGAACGAGGAATCAATTCTTGCTAGACTGACCTAGTTTGGTGTATCCTTCCCACTCTTCCTTGTACC